ATATCATTGTAAGTCACCTAATGCCCTGCATCCACATTTTTCTACTCTGTTCCATTGGTTCACATAATAATTTCAAGCCAAACTTCCATCAGGAACTTATCCTCAAGTGGCTTGACTGGGGAGATACCTCCAGTCATTTCCAATCTCACTTCCATACAACATTTGTAAGTTGCTCAATCTAATTTTCAACAATTTTGCAGCACTCATCATACTTCTCACAATCAACATGTTTCCTGCAGGGACTTATCAGATAACAGTTTGACCGGATCAATACCTGATTTTCTATCTCAGTTGTCATCATTAACTGTCCTGTAAGTGACTTGAATTAAAACAGACAAATCCTGAAGTTTTTAGTATGAAAAAAAAATTAAATAACAAATCCCATTTCCAATATACCTCTGCAGAGACTTGTCCGGGAACAACCTCACAGGGTCACTTCCATCTGAGCTCCTTGAAAGATCAAAGCAGGGTTTGTTAACAATAAGGTAATTAGCTTCTTACTTATCTAATACTATATATAAAAGTACGAATAAGGGGAAATTTTATGTTTTCCGATTGTACCCTTATTTTTAAAACATATTTCTGATTGTACCCTTTTTTTAAAACATATTTCCAATTGTACCCTTTTTATAAAACATATTTCTAAATTGCCATTACTAAATAATATTTTTAATTATTCCATTATATGAATTTAATATTTTACTTTTAATTTCAATTTTTAAATGTCAATAAAAAGATTAAATTAACACTAACACGTACACTAACACGTACACGTACAATACTATTGTTAGTGAAACTCCATCTTTTCGTTATATAATGTTTTGCGGCATTCACTTTGTTCAATTGGAAATTGTTGAGTTAGAAGAGTGGATGATATTATGATTTTGATTTTCTTGTCTACTATGTGGTTATCAAAATTTTATAAGATGGTTATTATAATTCCATGAGGAGGTTACCAAAATTTCATACCATGAGAAGGTTACCAAAATTCCATAATGTGGTTACCAAAATTTCATAGTGTAGTATTTCATAGAGCGGTTACCAAAATTTCATAGGATCAGGTTATTAAAATTTCTTAGGTTGGTTATTGAAATTTCATAGGGTGGTTAATTATCACAATTTTATAGAAAGGTTATCAGAAAGATTTCAAAATGTCATAGCGAAGTTATACGAATTTTATAGTGTGGTTAACAAAATTTCATTAGAATGTTACTAATACTTCATCGAATTTTATAGTGTGGTTATCAAAATTTCATATGAAGGTTATAAAAGTCTCAATTTCATAAGGAGTACCAAAATTTGATAGAAGGTTATCAAATCTCATAGAGTGATTATCGAAATTTCATAAGATAGGATTATCAAAATTTATATGAATATTATCAAAATATCATAGTGTTGTTATCAAAATTTCAAATCGAGGTTATCAAAATTACATAATGTGATTATCAATTCATAAAGGGGTCAACCAAATTTTATACAGATGTTATCAAAATTTCATAAAGATGTTATCAAATTTTCAAAATGTGATTACAAAAATTTCATAGTGGTATTTCTGGGTAGGTTATCAAAATTGGGTAGGTTATCAAAATTTCATAGTATGGTTACCAAATTAGAAAGGTTATTAAACTTTTATGATGGAGTAATCAAAATTTTAGGGAGGATACTAAAATTCAGGGAAGATATCGAAATTCAGTGAGGATATCAAAATTTCATATAAAGGTTATCAAATTTTTATAGTTTAGTTTTTTTTTATTACCTCATTATGAAATTTTGTTAATCTCCCTATGAAATTTTGATCTGCATACTATGAAATTTTGATAATCCTCTTATAAAATTTTCCAACTATTGTCTACGGTCCGCCCCTGAGTGTAATTATCATAATTTAATAAAGAGGTTATCATAATTTCATATGAATATTTTATTTAAACACGTTGCGTCACGTGCAACATAGCTAAAACTAGTGAATAGAAACATATATGATTAGAAACTCTAGGAAGAGCCATTTATCATTTGTTAAAGAGTTTATTTTTGTCCAAATAATATCATTTGAAAGGTTAAGATACAAATTCTAAGTCGTGTTTTGTAAAATGAAGTTTGCCTGGAAGTCCAAATATATCTTCATCAAGTCCAAATATATCTTCTTCAAGTCCAAATATATGTTCATCAAGTTCATGCTCAAAAAACAAGAAGAGCAAGTTGATTGTACCCCTAGTAGCAACTAGCGGCGCATTGTTCATCATCATAACAGCATTGGCCATTGTGTGGATTCTTAAAAGGAGAAAACAAGGTAAACATGCAGTGAAGTATAAGATGAATTTTCAATTACTTCCTAAAGAGTTTTTTATAATTACGATTTCAATTTGCAGTTTTGAGAAATAACATCAAGACGAAGTTCAAATCATTGAAGTCAAAGACTCAACAATTCACATACCCTGAGCTCCGTAAAATCACCAATAACTTTGAGGAAGTTATTGGCAAGGGAGGGTTTGGAACAGTTTACCAAGGCTACTTGGGTGACACTCAAGTAGCAGTGAAGATGCTTTCTCAGTCAACAGGTCAGGGATACAAGCAGTTTCAGGCAGAGGTAGATTAATTTCTGTCATCTCTCCAAAGTCTTACTACATGGTATTTATTTATGCTAGAAAAATGGAACTCGATTGAATATATCAATAATAGTTTTGTTCGAATATATATATAGGTCGAACTTCTTTTGACGGTTCATCATAGAAATTTGACAGCCCTTGTTGGCTATTGCAACCAAGACCCTCACATGGGGCTTCTCTATGAGCATATGGCTAATGGAAACTTACGCGACTATCTATCAAGTTTGTGCTTAATCATTGTAATTTTTCTCTTTTATATGAAATAAAAAACAAAACACACTAATTTAATTACATTTTTCTTTTGATTTTGTAAATTTAGATAGTAATCTGGATACTTTGAGTTGGGAGCGGAGACTTCGAATAGCAATGGAGTCAGGACAAGGTTTGAAACTATAACTCAAAATTTTCATTTTTACATAACTTGTCAATTAATCTTCCATATATTATGACTATATATTGCTTTTTGTTGATATAATATATGTAGGACTAGAATACCTACACAATGGTTGCAAGCCACCCATAATACACAGAGATGTGAAGACGGCCAACATCTTGTTAAATGACAAATTGCAAGCCAAATTGGCTGATTTTGGGCTTTCTAGGAATTTTCCAACTGAAAGTGGCACCCATATTTCGACGACTTTTGCTGGCACCCATGGATACATGGACCCTGAGTAAGTTCAACTTTGACAATTTCAATTTTTTTTTTCTTAAAAAAAAGTTATTGACTTGATCGCTTGTTTTGTTCGTATATATATAGCTGCTATGGATCAAACAGGTTAACGGAAAAAAGTGACGTTTATAGCTTTGGGGTTGTTCTCCTGGAGATCATAACAGGCCTACCTTCAATTATAAGAATCAATGAGAAAGAGACAATACACATAAGTAAATGGACCAATTCCAGGCTTGTTGAAGGGGATATTACAAATATTGTTGATGATAGATTAGGAAGAAATTTCGATGTCAATTCTGCCTGGAAAGTTTTAGAAATAGCAATGGCTTGCGCATCTCCAACTTCCTCTGGAAGGCCACCTATGAATCATGTTGTCATGGAACTGGAAGAGTGTTTAGCCACTGAGGTTGCTCGAAAGACAAAACGTCAAGCCAATTTAGTGGGAGAAGATTCTATTAGCATGGTTACTGTTAATCTGGAAAGTGAATCGTGTACTACTCCCCTCGCTCGGTAGTACTTCTGTGTGCAATAATAAGTGAATGGTATTTACATTGTTGATGCCAAATTATGTCGTGGCTAAATGCAATTACCTTTGTTGATGATAAATTATGTCGTGACCTGATTTTTAGAATGAGAGTGCTCTAACTGACCTATAAAGAGAGATTTGTAGAAAAAGGACCTCTCAAATGTGACTCGAGAGGATCCTTTCTGACAATCAAATCAGTAGGGTCCTCGGTGTATGTGGTGAGAATTAGAGAGTATGGCATAATATCATATAATGAGAGAGCATATATTAACTTTTACCTTATATAGGAGGCCTTTGGGCCTTAGTTGGCCTCTTGAAACTAATGGGCTTTGGGTCCAATTTGATGATGCTTTTTTTTTACTGCACCAACATTGTATAAATATGGTAGAATTAATTTGATGTGTAATACATCATTAAGAAAATTTCAAGGTTTAAAGCCCTTATATATACACTATACTATATATAATATGTGTATCACACCAAAATTACTAAAAGCCCCAATATACTTTTTTGAGCATAGAGATAACTGCTCATTCTTGTTTATTCTCCTATATGTTTAAGAGTTATTATAACATGCTTATTAATAAGTTTAAATTTCAATGGTTCTATTTATGTGTAAATCCAGCTTTAAATTTTAAAAACTTACCTACAACGTAAACGCAGGCTAACCTTGTATAAGTAAACATTATATATTATACACTTGAAGGGTTAAAGTAGTTCTTCAATTTAAAGGTTTGTAGTTGTTGTACTACTATAAATATTATTAATTTGTGTATATTCAAATTCCACATTACTCCCTCTGTCCCATAATATAAGTCCATTTTAACCGTATCACAAAGTTTAAGAAAAGTAGTTACAACTCTAACTTCCATAAACTTTTATCTTCTCTTTCCAATTTTATCCCTCTTCTCCCCCTCCCCCCCCCCCCCCCACTAAGTCTCTCTCCTAACACTTACTCTCTCATAGTCAATAGATAAATTAAATTCCAACTAAATTTCTACTACCACTAACAAGGGTAATTTAGATAACTTAGGTCAAAGTTGCATTGGGTTTTAAAAAGGGACTTATATTTTGGGACAAATAAAGTTTCTAGAAGAGAACTTATAATATGGGACAGAGGGAGTACTATTTGAAATATTAAGATGTAAGATTGCTGGATCAGTAGAAAATGTTTTTTTTAGAGAAATATATAATTTCATTAATTAGAAAGATTAGAGTTACAAACGTCGGGTGGTAAAGACCCGCACCGCACAAAATCGATTCGCAAGCTCGCTAACCGATGTGCCAAAACATTAGCCTCCCTATTTACATGAATAAAACAACACTCATCAAATAACAAAGCTAATTCCCTAATCTCATAAATCAGTTCCCCTTCTTCCCACCAACAAGGCTTACTACTATTAATCCCAGTAATGGCAATGAGAGAATCACTTTCCAAGATGCAGCTGTTATAACCATACTCTAACGCCACCTCAAACGCAAATAACAAAGCATGTACCTCAGCATACAAGGGAGACGAGACAAACAGCAGACGCCTAGCTGCACTAACCAACACAGCCCCTCCAGAATCTCGAGCAACCACCCCAAGGCCTGCCTCATTCGTTTCAACAGAAAAAGAAGCATCCACATTTAATTTTATGACTCCAACAGGTGGTGCAGTCCACGTCTTTGATCCATGAGAAATAGAAGACCGATGGCTATCACATGCAGTAGCCAACTGAAATTGCTTAGACAGATTAATAGCAGCAATATCCACTGACCTTGGCAATCGACAGGTTGAGCTGTAAAGGCACTTGTTTCGATTCTGCCAAATGAGCCACAAGGTATTTACCACCCTATCTAGCTGACCCAATCGAGAACTCTTAGATAAGAAATAAAACCAAAAATCAGATTCCCCATCCCAATCAGCTACACTCTGTTCCACCCATGGACAACTAAAACTCCAAACCTGCTTACTAAATAGACAGTCGAAAAAGATATGCAGCAGAGATGTTTCACGTCCTCCACATACATCACAGATATCCTCAATTTGCAAACCACGTTGAATCAATACAGGCTTAATTGGTAAAATATTCCAAGCAACCCTCCAAACAAAATATTTTCTTTTAGGCATAACTAGTAAATGCCATAGCCGGTTCCAAATTGGAACTCTATCAGTTCGAGTGCCATCAGCCCTTCCAAGGATCTGACGAGCAACATAATACGCCGATCTAACCGAAAAAGACCCTAACTCAGAATCATTCCAGATTAGACAGTCTCTTGTTAGGGCCTTAGGGATCGGAAGACACATAATCCGAACTATATCCTCATCCTCAAATAAATTGAGCAACTTATCTTCATCCCATTGTCGAGCTTCAAAATCAATCAAGTCTGCAACTTTCATTGGTGCTTGGGCTACACCTTCACGAGGCGTTGGCAAGTAAGATGGGGAATTATTTAACCAACGATCACGCCAGACATCTAAATCCCCAAGACCAATCCTCCAACGAGAACCCTCAACCAACACATCTCTGCCTGCCAGTAGACTTCGCCACAAGAAAGAAGGATTAGAACCAAGCCTCGTATTTAGAAACTGACCAGACGAAAAATATTTCGCTCGCAGCACCCTAAAACAAAGCGAAGAAGGATTATTAATTAACCGCCAACACTGTTTAGATGGCAAGGAAAGGTTAAACGCCTCAAAATCACGAAACCCCAGCCCACCATCAGCCTTTGAAACGCAAAGAGATTCCCAAGATTTCCAATGAATGCGTTTCCTTCTATCCTTCATTCCCCACCAAAAATTAGCTATAACCATATTAAGTTCATGGATAAAAGATCTAGGAAACCGAAAAACACTCATCAAATAAACTGGAATAGCCTGAGCTATGGATTGAATCATTATTGCCTTCCCAGCAATAGAGAATAACCTATTATTCCATCTCTGAACACACTGTTGAAGGCGGTCTTTAATATACAGAAACTCCCTAGATTTCGACTTTCCAATCATAATTGGAAGGCCTAAATACTTATCCCTCTCTAGTATTCGTTGAACACCCAAATGACTCATAATGGAGACTCTTACCAGGGGTGGAGTATTAGCACTAAACAGAACTGAAGACTTATCAATATTTATTTGCTGGCCTGATGCAACTTCAAAATCCTTCAAAATACCCAATATACCGTCACTATCTCCCCTACTTGCTCGTAAAAACAAGATACTGTCATCGGCAAAAAAGAGGTGAGATACTCTAGGAGTCGACCTCGCCACTGACACTCCCTGTATAATTCCCTGAGTATCTGCATCTGTGATCATACAAGATAAAGCTTCCATGCACAAAAGGAATAAATACGGGGATAATGGATCCCCCTACCTAATACCCCTCTGAGGAGAAAACTTAACACACTGTTTCCCATTCACATTAATCGAATAAGTGACACTTCGCACACAGATCATAACACGAGAAATCCACATATCAGAGAACCCCATCTTTCGCATACAAGCTTCAAGGAAATCCCATTCCACACGATCATACGCTTTGCTCAAATCCAGTTTTAAAGCCATATGAGATTTTCTCCCATGCCTCTTGTTCCGAAGAAAATGAATCATCTCAAAAGCGATCATAACATTATCAAAGATCATTCTCTCCGGAACAAACGCACTCTGATTTTCACCAATAATCATTGGCAAAATCTTTTTCAACCTATTAGTAAGAGCCTTGGAAATGATTTTAAAAATCACATTACAAAGGCTAATCGGTCGAAAATCTTTAACAAACTCTGGAGAATTAATTTTCGGAATCAAAACAATATTAGTATCATTTATGTCAGGCAAAGGCTTACCCTCGTTTAAAAAAGCCAAAGACATAGAGATGACATCCTCTCCAACAGTAGACCAGCAACTTTGAAAGAATCTCGGAGTCATCCCGTCAGGTCCCGGAGCCTTCTCACCCTCCATTTGAAATGCAGCTGCTTTGATCTCCGCAGGAGTAAAATCAACATCTAAAATGCTCCTCATATCCTCATTCAATCGTTGATCCATGGGTTCCAATACCTTATTAATTGACTCTACAGTTGGCTTGGTGGAAGAAAAAATATCCTCATAATATGCTGTAATCACCTTCTCAACTGCCGCTGGTTCCGTAAACCAAGTACCCTGACCATCCCGAATACCAGTAATAGTTCTCCTCTGCTTACGAATGGAAGCTACCGAGTGGAAATATCTTGTATTCCGATCCCCCTCCTTTAACCATAACGCCTTAGACCGTTGTCGCCACAAAACCTCCTCCTGCTTATATAATTGGTCTAACTCATCCTTGCACCGCTCAAACTGACACAAGTCAACCAAATCTCCCTTGGAATACAACTCCTCATATTCCCTCTTCTTCCTAGTCAAATTAAACCTAATATTACCAAAAACCCTCCTGTTCCAAAGCTCCAAGTCGCGCCCACACCTAGCAATTTTAATATTGATATTGGCAGCATTCGAAGCCTGCCATGATTGAGTCACCACCGAAGCAAATAAAGGATGAGAAGACCACATATTCTCAAAGCGGAAAGGGGGCACAGTAATATCAATAATCGGCTTATCCGAAATTAAGATAAGAAGAGGTAAGTGGTCTGAAGCCCTTGTTATAAGATGCTTCTCAACAGAATATCCAAACCTCTGCCACCAAGCCTCAGTAACCAAACATCGATCTAGCCTTTCAAAAACCATTTCTCCATTCTGACGACGAGACCAAGACAGTAATGGGCCTTGAACCGGTAACTCCTGGAAACCACAATCATCAATAACGGAGTTAAAATCCTCCATTTGAGATATAGGTCGAATCGAACCCCCCTTTTTCTCATCAAGGCTGCGGATTTCATTGAAATCCCCAGCACACAACCATGGCAAATCCGACTGCCGATTTAGAGTGCGAAGTAGTCTCCAAGACTCATGGCGATGACTAGTCTCGGGTCTCCCATAAAAACCTGTAAAGTGCCAACTCAAAGAATCAGAACCAATTATAACATCAATATGAGAATGAGAGTAAGACAATAGGGAAACAACATCAATATTCATCCAGAGCAAGGCAAGACCACCCACTCGACCAATACAAGGAACAGAAAAACAAGAATCAAAACCTAACCGAGATCGGATCCAGTCCATCTCACTACTACTACACTTAGTTTCTGATAAAAATAAAAAACTGGGCTTATTACATTTAACTAAATTAATTAAAGCTGCCACTGACCAAGGTGCCCCTAGGCCTCGGCAGTTCCATACTAAGGGATTCATTTTCCTCGGCAGAGACTAGCCTCGCTTGCTGTCTCTGCCGCTGGTAAATGTTTGTCAGCCTCCAGCTCCCTCCCCGTATCTTCCACAGCCACAGAAGCACCAACCGATTCAGCTACACCCTCCTCCAATTCCCTTGATCGTTTCGCCATACTAGTATCATCAACCTCCATCTCACACCCACCTGGCACCCTACGCTTCACCCCAGGCTGGAAACTAGGATTCTGGCATCGACCATCAGACTCATACTTCGATGCCACACGAGCCAACTTCTTCCACTTTCGAGGCTGCTCCTTCGACGTCTCCACCCCTGCACTAAACACAAAGGACGGACTCGCTGCCAAATTAGCAAGGATAGCTCGAATATCTCCTTGAGATGTACCAGTAGCTGGGAAAGAGGAGACTGCTCCAGGGTGGCCCAAAGGTAAAGTCCCCTGCCCAGACATAAGCCCAACTCCCTCAATAGCCACTCCAGACCCAATCCCTGGAATTGTTGGGCTATAACCCTCAACACCCAAACTAGTATTCTCGGCCCAATTTTCAACGCCACCTACATTCAGGCCCACCCCAACAGTGTTGACCACATTCTTTCCATGTGCTAAACTCTGCCCTTCCACGTCACCCACTACAGGTCCCCTATTACCAACAACCCCTCCATTCAAACTCCGAATCCCCCGCTCCTCAACTTCTACACGTCTTGATGAAACCTCCCCATCCTCTAAACGTGTCGTTCGTTGTTCCAACTGCTTCTCTGGAAACCTGGAGATTATCTCACACGACCTCTCAACTTCCTCCCTCCCATGCGCCACCTGCTTGCCCCGGATATCTCTACTATCCACATGATCTCGAAACAATGGCTCCAACCTCCGAGTAGCCGATGTCTGTGGCAAGAAGGCCTGATCACCTCGCCGATAGCCACCACACTCCATAATTGACCTCCGGATCAGTGAGAAAGCATTACTATTCGACCCTGACCCAACCGAGAAAGTTTGACTGGTTAATCTCCCACCCCCCCTAGGCGTAACAATAGGTGTTTCGGCCTTAATATCCGTTGTATACTTCTTAACGGAAAAGCGATGTCGTCTTATTTGCTCGAAGGCCATCGGACAATCTGGTTCCTGGTGAGTCAAAAAACCACAAACAAAACAAAGATCAGGAGTTTTCTTGTACCGGAACTTGTTCTCCTTCTCCTCGCCTTCCGGAGTTGTGACCGTCGTCCCTTTCTGCAGCGGCTTATAGATATCTAAATCTACTCGGAGACGAATGTACCTCCCATCATCCATATCCACATCCTGCACCCGACCCAGAGATTCACCAATAGCTAGGCCTATCATATCCGTCATATAACCCGGCGGTAGCCCAAAAACTCTGACCCATATAGGAGAGACATCAAAAACAATGTCTTCCGGCTGATCAAGACCATCAAATTCAGTAAGCAGCAACAATGATCTCTGGAACTTCCATGGTTGAGTAACCAACACCCTGTCCCTATCAACTCCATCTTCAAATTCAAACAAAAACGACTTCTCCCCCACTTCCCGAACTCGCATCCCCATGTTAGGCTTCCACGCCTGAAACATGGCCGCACGAAACCCTTCTAGATGTGGAGTCCGCTTTGAAAACAGTTTTCCTAGCACCGAGAACCAAGTAATTTCGCCATCTTGACCTATCCACTCCTTAGCAATCATAACCTTAGTCGAAGATCCTTCAGCAGACTCGTCATCCTAAATAGATAACCTCGAGCATAGATTTGATAAAGCAGCCATGGATAGCAAAGGAACAATACCTAGGCGGCTCAAAAGAAACAAGAAATGTGCACACAGAAAACCAAAATGAAAAGAAAGCCACCACAACCAATTCGTATCGAACAAAAGGAAATAATCCTGGATAAATACCCTTACTTCACCATTTCGAATTTGAATTCGAACTGGAAAACAGAGATAAGAATAAGATCGTTCCAAATCTACATAAAGCTCATTACCAAATCTTAACGAATTAAAAGAAAACTTGTACCAAGACAAGGGATAGCTCCCACTAGAAAAAACTAGGGAAGGGAAAGAGAAATTCATTCTCGGCTTAAATTAACTATTAGAAAATGTTGGAAAACGATTGAAAAGTAATTTAAAATTCTGTCTCAAACAAGAATTATAGTTGATCCAGATTGCATGTACCTTATAGATGAGGAAACATTGATCACATTGGTCCAACTTCAAGCCCGAAACAACCGCCTCTCTTTGGTCATTAGGCTATCTAAGTTATAAGACCAGTTGGGTACTTGGGCCGTGTAGGCCATCAAAAATTTCAGGTTTTACTAGTTCCTTTTCCAAGGCTGCAACTTAGTTGGAGTCTTGGGGAGTGGGGGAGGTATATTCGTGCGCATTTGGTGTATTTTCAAAAGTATTTTTTTTTCTCTATCAAAGTGGTTGATTCAAGTGCTTTGACGTTTGTTTCTTTGACTTTAAGTAAAATCTCATATTCGAGTTTTGTAAATGGAGAAAATCATTATTGGGAGAACTTTATTTCATAGTGGGTAAACCCAACTGAAATAAGGTTAACTTGTAAAGCTTTTTTTTCAACCACTTCCAATGGTTGTGAATTTGTGCCAAGTGCAGAGTACTCTGGCTTCCGACATGGGAATAAAAATCAACTTAATTCCCAAATTCCCATAGTGCAAGTTGAGCAAGTCCCTAACAACGTAGTAATTTAATATTTTTAAACAGACAACGGCGGCATCATCCATTGAGAAAGCAAATTGGAATAAAATTGGAAAACAATGGACCATTAATCAATCATCATATTCCGGTCCTTAACCTTAACCATAATTAACTCATTGAAATAAAATGCTGCATTCAACAAAGACATCAAAGAGCAATAGGATCAGCAATTTGACAAAAAATTGTGAATGAAATGAAGTCCTCATTTTCTGCCTCTATGACCAACCATAATTGAGGGCCAACAATAATTTCCTAATACCAATAGAATTTGATATTGATCCACCATCGTAGCCAATCACAACAGAGCAGGGACAGCTATCTTCTCTCTTACGGTTAAGAAAATGACATTTTCTTTTTCTTTTTCTTTTTTTTCCTTGTTGATTGAGGTTACCGAGTCAAGTCTCAAGGCAAAGATAGGCATAGCTTTAGAAATAGCCATGGCTTGTGCATCCCCAACTATGAATCATGTTGTAATGGAACTGGAAGAGTATTTAGCCACTGAGGTTACTCGAAAGACAAAACGTCAAGCCAATATAGTAGGGGAAGATTCTATTAACATGGTTACTGTTAATCTGGAAAGTGAATCGTGTACTATTCCCCTTGCTCGGTAGTATTTTTGTGTTCTTCAAAATTTCCCCCCCAGTGTGACAAAGAATTTTTGTGTGTGCACCTACCATTATAGTGAAAAGAACATTTGTTAATTACCTTCTCTCTTGGTTTATATTTGGATTTGGAGTGACATTGTATAAGTATCATAAAATTTGTACAAGCAAATTTCAAGGGGCTTTTGGGCCTTTGAACGTTAATAAATTACTTCCAACCACATGAAGGTTTAAAAAAGTTCTTCAATTGGGGTTCAGAGATGGAAAAAATAAGAGAGTTTTCTTCATTGGGATCTGACACCTAATACGGAGTGTTTTTTACAAGAAAAACAGAGTAAAAGGTCGGTCCAAAAAAAAAAATCAGATTACTATTTGAAATATTAAGAAGATGTAAAATTACTGAAAATAATATTATTCTCAGTAGAAAATGATCATATTGGTCCAACTTTAAGCCCAAAACCACCGTCTCTGTTTAGTCAGTAGGCTATCTAAGTAAAGACTAGTTGGGTACTTGGGCCGAGTAGGCCATCAAAATTTCAAGTTTTACTTGATGGGGGTACAAAATTACCCAATCGTTTGTTCCTTATTCCAAGCATTCAAGCAAGGCTGCAACTTAGTTGGGGAGTGGGGGCCCTAATATTCCATGGATAAGTTTCAATGGTTGCGAATTTGTGCCCAAGTGCACAGTACTCTGGTTTTAGACATGGGAATAATAATCAACTTAATTCCCAATTTGGCAATTTCCCATAGTGCAACTTGAACAAGTCCCTAACATATTTAATACTATTTCAAATAGACAACGGCATCAATCATTGAGAAACCAAATTGGAATGAAATTGGAAAACGATGGACCATTAATCAATCATATACCGGTCCTTAACCTTAACCTTAATTAACTCATTGAAATGTTGCATTCAACAAAGCCATCAAAGAGCAATAGGATCAGCAATTTGACAAAAAAAATTGTGAATGAAATGAAGTCCTCATTTTCTGCCTCTATGACCAACCATAATTGGGGGCCAATAATAATTTCCTAATACCAACAGAACTTGAGCCACCATCGTAGCCAATCACAACAGAGCAAGGGCAGCTATCTTCTCTTACGGTTAAAGAAAATGACATTTTCTTAGTATTCTTTTTTCCTTGATGATTGAGGTTACCGAGTCAAGTCTCAAGGCTAAGATAGGCGCCGCATAGCTGTTCACAACAATGTAACAGCTACATTAATCACTCACAACCGCCCCAAGCAAAGTCAAATTCTCCCAACTTGTGAACCTAAAATGGTTCATTATTTCACACGGAAAATTGGTTATTTTGAGACCTTTGGAAAGGTGGTCAGGGGTCAGCTATTGAATGACAAACAAAAATACAACCAGAGATTTGGGCAACTTTCTTAACAGATTTGTCTAAATTTAGCATGTACAAAACATCCAAACTACAAAACACCCATTTGATCCAATCAAAACCCACTTTTTTCCACCCTTACAAGACAAAGCTGAAACTGCCAAGCAAAACCCAAAGTTATATATGTAAGAATTTAAAAAAAAAAAAACCCACATCACCATCATCATGAAAACATCATTAGTTGGATTGAATCTAGGGATTATATAAAGATTAAGACAGAATTAAGAGTTTAATAATCAATAATATTACAAATGCACCTGCCAAAAAAGAAGCATAAAACATGTGCTAAGCAATTAGATTGGGGGTGACTTTCAAGAGCACGCTTTGGCTTGAATCAAGGAGACAGGACCACTGCTCTGGTCTCACATATTTTTAGAGAATGTTTCTTGCTTTGATTAGCTAAATCAAAGTACTCTTACAAATTATTTTAAAAAAAGATCTCCAAGAAAAAGAAAGCTTTTAGGTACAGTGAGAGAATACATTAAACAAAGTGATAATCACTTTTCTAGCCCTTGAGTTTAATCATAGGTGCTATAATTACTAAACCTTTTTCCATATGAAAAAGGTTTTGTAAATACCTAAGCTATTTTTCCACCCTTCCTTTTTGCTGTTCCACTCCAATTATCTTAAAACTTGAGAGTGGAAAGCAGCAAACTCAATGGTGGACATAGGAAGAACTTATCAGAAACTCTTGGATGGTGGATACAATGATGGCCATAATCAGGAAATTTATCATTAGCAAGAGTTTTTTTAACTCTAAATTACAAAAGATGCAATGAATATGCATGAAAATGATCTGATCAAAGGGATTTGATTAGTTTTCTAATATAGTATTTGTACTTGGTTTGAGGGCTGGGGCAATGGTTTTTGCATGTTAATCATTAATGATATGATGAGTATATGGCTGAGGAACCATGTGGTTTGGTTAGGATCACTTTTATTATAGGTTTTGGAAGTAGCTTTTTTCAACTCTGTGGGTGGTGAATATGATTAGGGTTTAGGAGTGGAAAATGAGTTTGCATGGGAAGAGAGTGGTTGAATGGTAAAGAAGAGAAATTAGGCAGGTTGGTAGTAGGAGGAGGACAACTCATTGGGTCAAGCTTGTTATGGCCTAGGTTTTCTAGTGCCTTGACTTGGGACCTAAGGAACTTGAGATAATTTGCAGCTTCATCAAGCATTGATGCTGTATCCATCTTGCTTCCACCAGGAACCAACCTCTGCAAAACCCTAATCCTCTCACTAATCCTCTCCCTCCTTTGCCTTGCAGCCACTGTTTGTGGATCAGTTGATATTCTCACATTCTTCCTCTTTGGTTTCTCCACTATTTCCAAGCCTAAGTTGACAGGCCTAAAAGCTGCAGCTCTATAAATCATCTCTTTCATTTGTGCAATGGCTTCTGGATCAGGTTCTTCAATGGAAGAAGATACTGATGAACTTGGCTGTTGAAAATTGATGTTGGATGAACAAGGCCTCTTTTCTGATCTTGCTTTTTTCGCTTTCGGTGGATTCTCAGGAATAAGCCTGAATCCACCTTCTGTTGCAGAAGTATCAGTCTGAAGAAGATTAAAGTAACCAGAATTTAGACCAACTTTGAACTCACTTTGATCATTAATGCCTCTCTTTGAAGAAGAACTAGGCTTTGTTGCTTGTGATACAGGTTTCCCATTACTGATGCAACGATATTCTGATGAACTCTGGGACACTGTTTCATCAAGCTCATTAACTTGACAGTAATTGAAATCCTTGCTTCCTGTATTTGAACCATTGTTTTCAGACTCTCCTGATGAAACTGCACTACTACTAGCAGCAAAATTCCATAATTTTTTACAATCAGAAAAAATCATGGAAATCCCATCATCTTCAACAGATGTATCTGTGTTGCTATTAGTAGCTGAGAGCAAGCAATCAAGGGACTCTAGAGAGCCTGCAGCTGCAGTTGTAGCACCACCATTGATGACTTGTGAACCATAAACTCTATTCATCAAGGAAGAAGAAGGCCACATTTCTTGTGTTAAAGCATTTCCCCAGTTGGCAGATTTCAGGACTTGACACTGCAACATATTAGTGTTTGAGGCTGGAAATGAATCTGCATTCACCTTTTGGAGTTCTTGAATTGGATTGAAAATATCTTCTGGCAGATCCATCTTGCCACCATAAATGGAGGAATTTGAGTTTGACATTATTAAGAAACTGTCTTCCATATCATTTCTCTGACTGTTCCACATAACTTCTGATCCATTCCACCCCAAGCCATCCATGGATGAAACTTTTATCTAAGCACAAGACAAAAAAAATTACTTCATAGGACAGAAAAGCTAGCTGATAGCTTAATCTAGAGCAGTTTATCACTTTACTATATAGTGTTTCATCAAAAGAAGAAAAGAAAAATTTGAGATGGAAAAATGGTTGATATAGTAAAAAGTACACATACCAAATCCAGATCAGGTTAGCTTGGCAAAAAAGAAGCCAACAAGGAAGGAATATCTGCTGTAAGCCTTTTAACAGAGACAAAGTTGGATGAAAGTTGAAACCTCAGCTTAATATCACTTTTCTGTACAATCTGGTACTGATTTTCTAACCGTCCTCTTTAATTCTTGATCATGAAAACTGTGATCATGAACAAAAAACAAACCATTGCTAACGTCAGTCATGGCAACTAATACTGAAGTTTGTCCTGTATATATTCAAGAGAAACAAAATTCAAGAAACTGCCTCAAGAAATTAATCATCATCCAACAGAAAAAAGATAAACATGAAAGTAAAGCATAACCAAAACACATGTATGCATAACAAAAGTTTGGTGCATATATAAGAGTTCTTAAGGGAAAGAAGATATTTCAATTTTTTTTCAATCTACCTTTTTGAGCTGTCCCTAGAGATACAGTGTTGACACAGTAGTATTATGTTAAAGGCATGCTTATATATATAGATAGATAGGAAGAATAAAAGAAAGCAATATTATTATAATAGAAACAAATACTTTGTATTAAGACTTGAATTAATAATGTAAAATATATAAGGGAAATTAAAAAGGGGAGGTTCAATAAAATATAATTTCATAAGTTGAAAGGAGGTGTAATTGTGGGGTTTGAAAAAGATAAGGCTTTTTGGTCAGTTTGGTGGGTGTGTAAGAGTATATTTCTGCAGATGGGGAGCATGAGATATATCAGAAGAGCATTTTGAAACTTATAACTATAATAATAATAATTGATACCAATAATCTTATTTTATTTAATTTATTTTCATTTTTTTAAAAAAATATACTATATATATAGTTTTTGTTCTCTTTCTAGTGGGGAAAAGCTCTGACATCCTTTTGGTTGCTCATACTATTCCATGCGCACTGTAAAGTTCCCAGTAAGAAACTGCAGTCAAAGCAAGCATCTTTTTAACAGAAACCATTCTCTTTTTAAAAGCTTTCCATTAATCATAGTTTTAATCATGACTATTCCCCCCTGCTTTCACTTTCTACCAAAGTTTCTTTTACTTATTGTGTTTTAAACTAACATAGCAGAATAAATCCTTACTTTGAAAACTGCATGAGTGCAGTAAACCAATGTTATTAATATTATGTAGCATAAATCTTGATATTGTATAAGAAAATGACCTTATAGTTACTAGAAATTCAACATTTCTACAGAATATCATCATTAAAACTTGATGATCATATTAAATTGTGGAATTGCAGTAAAGTATTGGGAAAAGGGTTGAAAATCTGAAAAGTACCACATTTCTTAGGATTGCCATTTTGAACATGAAAAAAAAAAGGGTAGTGGGATTACTGGGAGAGGAAGTTAGAACAATTAAAAAGATATATTGGCAGGCAAAGTAAAGGGTAGTCAGAGGATCAGAGGATGAAGATAGATAGCCAAAAAGCAAGTTGTTCATAGAATTTTGTCTCTTCAACCATAAAATTCCTATATTTTCCATTTTTTTGCACTTTATTAAATAAAGATAGTTGTACTTGCAATTGAATAAAAGAGCAGAGAGTAATTAAAAAAAAAACAAAGAAAAAAGAAGATAGTATAAGAAGGAAAAAAAAAAAAAAAAAGTATCTGGTTTCTGAGTCCTACCCACATGCGCCCCATCATTACACAGCTCAGTGAATGGGTTCCCATAGCATAATTTGCTTTCTTTGCCTTTGCCAACTCTCTATATTGTCAACTCTCTTATGTTTTTCTTCACCAAATCTGCAGAAAAACAAGTGACAACATAATACAGTTTAAAAAAACATCAGATTTTCTTCCCCAAAAAAAAAAAAAATTATTTTCATGTCATAAGGGAGAGAGTAAGTTGATTACCTACAAAAATAGCAGGAACCTATATATAGAATTAATGGAAATGAAATACTACTCCAACTTGACTCCAATTTGCCATCTTAGTTATAGCAGCAACCTATATAAAAAGACCAGTTGGGAAAGGGAGAGAGACAGAGAGACCCAAAATGATTAAATGAAGGAGCATTAAATGATTGTTTTTAAGTTTAGAATAATCCAAATTGGAGTTGCTCTCAAATCTCACTAGAATTGAAAGAGACTCATTGTTCTTTAGGCCTTTGATTGTCTTAATCAGTTGACTCATTTTTTCTTGTAAGAATTACCCAAACTATGACCTTATTGAAATATATATATGTTGCTGTCTCATACTTTTAACTTGTTGGAAATTTGGTGCCACTAATTTCCAATCTTTGTCATGTAGAATTGATATTTTTAACCAAC